TCTCTCTCTCTCTCTCTCTCTCTCTCTCTCTCTCTCTCTCTCTCTCTTTCTCTCTCTCTCTCTCTCATTTCCTTTTTCATCTACCACCCAAATCTCCTAAGCCAAGAAAAAGGAAGACATGCAATGTTAAGAATTTTGACTGAGCGTCGAATTGGGGAAAATTCCTCTAAACAAAGGCTAGGGCTAGATATGAACATGAATCATAAATGAGGTGGTTTTGTTTTGGTTTGTTGTTTTATCCCTGTAGCACTTAGGCAACCTGAGATTGGTGGGGTATGGAAAGAGCAGGGGTGGGGAGAGAGAAACATAATTTTTTCCTTGCCTGTGTCATTATTATCCTGTGGAAGAGCAAAATAAGAAGCCTGGAATCCAGATTTGGTGACAAATGGGTCACTAAAAAATTGTACTTTCATCTTGTTGGAAGGAGACAAAAATGTCTCATTGGAAGCATCACAGAAACGCCCTAGCAGATCAGATGAGCTTTGGGACCCATCAAAGATGTCAACATGGCTTGAAGAACAGCTAAGGGAGTGTTCATTCCTGGGAAATAGAAATTAAAACTGAGGTTATATCATCACTCAGGCATTTGGGACATTCATACATTAGTGGCCAATTTTTTCAAGAGAAATGATGTGGAGCATGGTGGTGCATGCCTGTAATCCTTGCTACTGGAGGAAGCTGTCATTGGTGGGTTGCTTGAGCTCAGGAGTTCTGAACCACAGTAAGGCTAAAGCTTATCAGGCACCAAACTGAGGAGGATGGTGGTGGTGGTAAAATGCCCGGTATGTCATAGGTGCTAAATACTTTTGCATTTGTTACTGTTTTTTGTATAATAATGCCTGATATTTATAAATATAATTTTTCATTTAAAAAATCCTTCACATAATCTGTCATGTATCCCTTAATGGCAACCCTTCAAGATAGTAAGAGATAGGTATTCTCATCCCCATTTTAACAACCTAAGTCTCAGAGAAGTCAAGTGACTTTCCTAAGGTCACATAGCTAGTAAGTAATAAAACCAGGATTCAAACTGAAGATTTGAATTGAAGACGCCAAATTCAATGAACTTTTTACTATACTACAGAGACACTCTCCCCCATATCCTTGGTCATTATAATTGAGAAGTGGGGGACTATCTTCTACTCCCTAGAGCAACAGTTGTCAACTTTTTGGTCTCAGGACTTCTTTATGCTATCAAAAATTATTGAGGACCCCCAAAAGTTTTTGTTTAGTGGGTTATATCTCTGCATATCTTCAATATTAGAAATTGAAATATCTTGGTATTACCATGAAAGTAGTTTTGACCTAATGGTTCCCCTGAATTGTCCTAGGGATCCCCAGGAGTCCACACATTGAGAACCTCTGCCCAAAAGAAATATTTATGTTCTTTGGTGTCCAGCTCTAAAAATAATTATTTGCCTTTTAAAAAAATCTAAATGCTTAGTCTGGTGTCATACTCTTTAAAGAGCTAAACAGAGCTATTTGGGGTTGTATCAAGATGTCAGCAAAACAACTAATTGAAAATGTAGTAACCCAGTAAGTTTCTTTTGCATTATGTTGACACAAATGACTGATACTGATTGGTGACTGGCCTCAAAAAAAGAAGATATCTCCCCTGTCTCTTTGCAAAAGTGGGGTACCACGCATATGGAACACTGAATAGAACATGAGGTTGTTTTTTTTGTTTGTTTTGTTTTTAAGGCAGTTGGGGTTAAGTGACTTGCCCAGGTCACACAGATAGTAAGTGTCAAGTGTTTGGTCTGAGGCCGGATTTGAACTCAGGTCCTCCTGACTTCAGGGCTGGTGCTCTATCCACTGCGCCACCTAGCTGCCCCCATGAGGTTTTGGGGTTTTGTTTTTTTTTTGATATATTAGTTTTGCTGAACTTTTTTTCCTTCCTACTTTTTTTTTTTTAAACTCTAAGGGATGGCATTGTAGAAGGGGTGGGAGAGAAATACAGTGGGAAATGTAAATGATGTGAAAATAAGAGATGTCAATAAAAATTTACTTTGGAAAGAAATAATCAGATAATTTCAATTTAGAGTATAGGCAAAACAATGGAGACTTCGTCTCTTGTGGGCTTGTCCTAGAAAATGAGACCGTTGAGATTTTATGCTAGAGTTAAAACTTTACTACCTTACTCAGACTCCTGCTCTGATTTCCTCAAACCCATGCTATTTAAACTGCAAAACCATTTAGCAGAGCAGAGAGGAATGGTGAAGTCACACTTGCCTTGAGTTCAATACTCGGGTGGTCAAGATTCTTCTCCACCTCCTCCAGGACGTCAAAGTTCCTAGGAATCTCACTCAACACTCAAAAACCAAGGCCATAATAATTCTTACAAAGGCAAGGGCTCCAGTTTGGCACCTTCCCTGAGAGTTCCAGCTAACCTTCTTCAGAAACGTTCAGCAGCTATTAGATTAGCTCTTGCCTTAGAGAGAATGGGTATGGCCTTGGTTTTTGAACACTGAGCGAGATTCCTAGGAACTTTGAGGTCCTGGAGGAGGTGGAGTAGAAGAACCCTGACCACCCGAGTATTGAGCTCAGGGAAAGCTCATCTCTGCTCTGCCGAGTGGTTTTCAGTTTAAATAGAAGCATTGGTTTGAGGGAATCAGAGCATGAGTCTGAGTAAGGTAGTAGGGTTTTAACTCTAGCATAAAACCCCAATGGTCTCACTGTGTAGGACAAGCCCATGAGAGACGAGGGCCTGTACTCTAAATTGAAATTATCTGATTATTTCTTTCCAAAGTAAATTTTTATTGACATGTTTTGTTTTATCATCACTTACATTTTTCACTGTGCCTTTCTCTCACCCCCTTTTAGAAAGCCATCCCTTATAATAAAATAATAAAAAGAAGAGAAAAGACGTTCAGCAAAACTAATCAATATATTAAAAAATCCACCTCTTCACAGTCTAATAGGAGGAATATAAGAGCACGGGTAGCTATAATATATGCATCCTTACTTAAAATATGTATTAGAGGGTTAAAAATCAAAGAACTATATGAAATCCAAGGGGGTAGGTTATTACCAACTGGGGTAATTAGGGTGGATACCCTGGAGACAGCATATTAATGGAGCGCCCTACCTAGGCACAATGGTGTCTAAAATTGCACCATTAGGGATCCCTCCCTTGGGGGAGGGATTGCCATGTCATTGTAATTAGCTTGTTAACATTTCATTTAACAGATTCACTTATATCTATTATAGGAGGTCATGGGGGCTCACTTATCTTCCCTCTTTTCACATTAGTACCTCCATTTTAGAAACTGTTTTCTAGTCTTCTCAAAGGGATGAGTCACTATCTCTTCTTTGCCCTTGTTCCTTCAAACCCTCTTCATCTCAGTCCACACTATCAGGCTGATAAATGGACAGTCTTGTAGGCTAAACAATGATAAAGTTTTGTAGCAAAGCTGAAATGCAGATAAGCTTGCAAGCAAGGCTAAAGTAAATAGAAACTTATTTTTTAGAGTTCACAAGATTTCTTTGAGTTTGGTAGGGGTAAGGGAGGGAATAACTTCTATTCTGTAACAAATGTCTCTTTGTTTTCTGTGTTATCAACTATAGCTTCTGATGACCTTACAAATGCAAGCTGTATAATTGTTATGATTATGATTGTTATTATCATTATTTTGCCACAACATCCTGAGAGATAGGCTAGTATAGAAGACAGTAGCAGGCTGGGAGTCATCTGGTCTGCTTTCTAATCCCAACTCTCCACTAACTGGTTGCATGACCTTGGGCAAATCATTTCCATCCAATAAAAATCATAGGACCATAGATTTAGGGCTAAAAGGGACTTCTGAGGTCATTTGACCCAATTTATTTAAAAATGGAGAAATCTGAGACCCAAAGAGGATAAATTACTTGTCCAAGGTCATAGGTTATATGTAACAGACAAAGCAGAATTTGAACAAGGTTCTCTGACTCCAAATCCAGCACTCTCCCATGTTGCTCCTCAAACAATCTGTTAATCAGTAAAAGCAGGAAAGGGTACATAAAGGGAATTTAGGGGTGCCAAAAGCAATTCAGCAGGCTTCACAGTTTTGCAGAGGGTTATAATTCCATATGGCAGAAGGCAACTAAAATCTGATTTTCCCATTTGGCCAGTTTTAGTCTTATTCCTCCCATATCAGCACTATAAAGGAATTGGAGCTTCCACACGAATAATCTAGGTAGAACAATGAAATGCAAAACTTGATTTTGCAGATATGATAGAAATAAATACCCAACAAACCAATTAAGATCCTCTCTAGGTGAAGATGGACTGAGAGTTTTCTTAATATCAATAATCTAGTTGTCTTCTCACTTACTTGAATGTTTTCAGGGTAAGGCTTATCTGGTAGGTCTTTGGCACTTCAATCTCCCAGACACATTGCACACTGTGTGGATAGTTTTCCAGATACGATGGGCTAGAAAATGTCCCTTTGGGCTGGATAAGTAGACCTCCACAACGTAGAGCAGCTACAAAGGGAGGAAAAAAGGACCAGTTGGCAATGTGGTCAAGTTAAAAGAGTCAAGACACTTGGGCTTAAGTCCTGACTCCATCACTGTCTGTGAGACCTTAGACAAGTTACCTCTTGGGGCCGTGCTTTCCTCATACATAAAGTGAGAGTTGTTATCAATAAAGCATTTTTAAAAATTAAAATGAGAGTTGGATAGGTCCTTTGTAGTTGTAAGATTGCCTAATCTATGCATTTGTTTGGAGTTCTACTCCTAGTTTCTCCATACCTCTTATTCTGTCCTTTTTTTTTCTTACCCAATTTTTTTTCTTACCCAATTTTGACCAGAATAACACTCTGACTGACATTTGTTGCTTGGATTGCTTGGATGAACTGATGGAGTGTTGTTTATTAACATCTGCAGGTGGCTGCTTTACCTCTGCCATTGACATCTACAAAGTCTAATTTAAAGGAGAGCCAGGATTTAACCCCTGTTAATCTGAATGATTTAGTCCAAATAATCACAAAATCATAGAATATGCAAACTAAAGGGCATCTCATACCAACTAGTCCAACCCTCTTATTTGATGTAAAAAGAAGATGAGCAGTGAAATGACTAAGGTCTGAGGTCACATAGCTAGTAAATGGTAAGGCTAAGGACCTGAATTTGGGTCCCTTGCCTCCAAGGAATTCCATCACACTATGCAGTCTCTGTAACAATATTGTAGATGCTATACTGTACTATACTGTACTGTATTGTGTTATACTCTATATAATATAATACTACCTTAATATGTACATATACACATACATACCTCAAATGGGGTCACAGAGAGTCTGACGAGACTGAATGACTGAACAACAATAATATGTGTGTGTGAACATATCTACACACATATATACACACATAAATACATGCATACATACACATATGGATAGATGGATGGATGGATGGATGGATAGTTAGATAGATAGATAGATAGATAGATAAATACCAATCACTTATATTTACTAAAGCATTTCCACATCTGTTTAGTAGAGGAGGAATATGGTGCGGTGGATAGAGAACTATCCCTGGAAGACCTGAATTCATAGCCTGTGTGGTGGCTGTTACCTTAGGTAAGTCACTTAGCCTCCCAATACCCCTAGTCCACTCTCTGAGATTCTAAGTTGGAGACAAGCACCAATCTTCCTTGGTTAAAGAATTTCTATGTTGGGGTTTCCCTAACAAATGAAATCACAGGTCTTGTCCAAATAAACTTGTAAAATGGATGTTATGATTCCCACTTCATAGATGAGAAAACTTAGTCCCAGAGAAGTTAATAGCAATAATCAATATTTATGAAGTGTTTTGAAATTTTTCCAAACACCTTACATCCTTTTTCTCTTTTGATTTTCACAGAAGCCCTGGGAAGGAGGCACTACAGATCCTACTATCCCCATTTTATATAAAAGGAAAGTATCACTCACAAAGGTTAATTTGCCACAGCTTGTATGTGTCAGAAGCAAGATCTAAATTCAAAATTTACTAATTCCAAGCTATGCAGTCTATTAGTCATTCTTAATGATATGCCTAATGCTAACACGGATAGGTATAGCTAGGGACAACTAGGTGGTACATTGGAGAGAGTGCAGGGCCTAGAGTCAGGAAGACTCATCTTTCTGAGTTCAAATCTGGCCTCAGATACTTACTAGCTGTGTGACCCTGGGTAAGTCATTTCCTGTTTACCTCAGTTTCCTCATGTGTAAAATAAGCTGGAGAAGGAAATGGTAAACCACTCCAGTATCTGCCAAAAAAAATCCTCAAATGGGGTCACAAAGAGTCAGACATGACTGAAAAATGACTAAATAACAATAACAAGGCTACAGAAGTAACTAATGGCTGAGCCTTCTTAGAATCAAGGTTCCTTGAATCCCAAGGCTGGCACCATCCTGCCTCCTACTTGCCCTACTTTAATAACATTGAGTGCTAGCTCTAAAACTGGGAAGACAGGAAAGAGACAAGAACTGAGCCCAAGACATAGCAACTAGAAAATAAAACAACTGATATTATTGACACTATTATTGTATCCTTCTGAAACCTTTCCTTCATCCACAAAGATCACCAGAAATCCACAAACAACTCCCCTATTGTGGCATGGTTTTGACTCAAGAAAAGAAGCATTACTTACTTGTTGGCACTACGGTCGATGTAGGAGCTGGAAGATCAGAACAACAGGAAAAGTCAATATTAGGATTTAGATTATTCTTATTCATGAAAAATGTCAGTGAGCTTTACACAAGATATTAAGGCCTCAGATTGTGGTAGCCCTGGCATAAGGAAGGATTTACATATGCAATGATCACCTTCCCTTCATGTAACCAGATAACATACATATCCAAGTTTCTGTTCAGGCCATACCTCCACTTTCTATATTCCAGAATACCCATCATTGGTATGCTTTATCTCTCCCTGAATCCCATTCCTCTCTTTGCTATATTTCTTACTCTTCATTTTGCTCTCCTTGTCCAGAAGCAGATTAGAGAGAGAGATTTAGAGTTGGAAGTGACCTTATAGAAAACTGAGATGGTTTAAGAGACTTTTTCAATGTCATATAACAGTAAAATTGGGATTTGAACCCACATTTTTTCACTCCAAATCCAGCATTCTTTTTTTTAACCATCCTATAATATTTGGCCTATATAAGCCTAACCAAAGTTAATCCTTGGGAAAATCTATAAAGAACCAGGGAGAAGGCTCCTCTTTTTTTCTGCTCTCAGTACTGCCCAGACACTCCGTTGAATGTTTGACTTGGCACTTCTGATCATTTGTCTGAAATTCCCTTCTCCTTCTATGGAAGTCTAAAGCCTATCAATCTTTAAATGCCAGCATAATTGCCACCTCCTCCGTGAAGCCTTCCTTGACTCATGGTTTTCTTTTCCTTTTGGAATAGAAATTATTGTGTGTCCTTGACATATAGGTATAGATATAGATATACATATATATATAATATACACACACACACACATATATATATAGTATACACATATATGCAGAAACAATGCTGACATGACATTCTTGGGCCATCATCCTTCAGGATCAGAATCTTAGCATTTTAAGGGACCTAAAGGTAATGTATTCTAACATATATTTCAAACAGCAATACTCCCTGTAACACCCCCAGCATGTGGCTACCCAATATTTACTCCAGGACTTTCACAGATGAGAATTCATTGCTAAACAAGGAAATTCATTCAAGTTCTAATTGTTGGTGACTCTTTCCTTATTTCAGCACCAAACTGTATTGTTAGTCACCTTTACATATATATACCTTAGTTCCCCAACTATACCATAAGCTTGTCATTTACAGCTTCAAGGATTAGGGTATTTCTGTATCCCTCACATTGCTTAGCAGCTCACAGGCACTGGATAAATATTTGTGAAATTAATGAATATGTGTTCCCTGGCCCACAAGACAGATTTGGGGTTTAAGAGTAACTTATAGCCATAGCCTGTGATATATGCATGTACATATATGTACACATATTTATATACATATACACACATGTGTGTATACATATTTATATAATATTCATGGATTCCAAAGGGCTTATTATATGGTTAGACATTTCCCTTTAATGAAATTATAGGAGTATGTACAAACATCTGAATGGCGTATGAAATCGGGGGAAAAAGACACCCACCAAGGCTGTAATAGACCAAACATCTGGATATTAAAAAACATCTTAATATTGGGTCAAATATTTTACTTTTGAATGTTGATCATCCTATAGAGGTAGACTTCTTCCCTTCCCCTTCTTTTCATTCTGGGAGTCCAAGAGCCTCCCAACTTAATCCAGAACATTAATTGCTAGGTCTGTATTTTTGAATTGCTGAACCCAGAAATGAATGTGCTTCTCATGAAGAAGTATTGTCCTGGGCGATAGGAGTCATCTGAGGCTCACCTACACTTACCTTCCAGCTCAGCATAGTAATAGCCATCAAACCAAGTAGAGGACTGGCTCGAATTTCTAGAGAACACAACAGTCATGATGTTTGAAGAGGACTGGTAGGTGAGGTAGAGTCCATTGCACACTTTCCCCAAAGAACGAGAAGTTGGGGTCCCATCAAGTACTTCAACATATTCAGTGGAACAGCTTAAACTGAATGTGAAGGTAAAAAAAATACGTAGTCTGTCTAATGTCATTCTCCTTAAAAAGACCTTTTCTCATCTATTAGAAGACCACAAGAGAGGTAACCCAGCACCCTGAGGCCAATAATGTGGAAATGGCAATGCCCCAAACTACAGGCCTAATTTCTAGCCTAACTTCTGTGGCCATCACTCCAGGACGCAACTCCCGGGCAGATGCACCTTGGAAACCACCCCAGCCTTGGAAACAGCCCCTGCCTCCCCAGCAGCCTCAGCTAACAATGATTTAGAAGAGAAGTTTTGTGCCACCAAAAGTCTTGGCACTAATAAGGGTTTCCACATCAAAAATGGATATGGTTTTATGAGGGTGAAATGCTGGGCTCAGTACCAAAAAACGCAGTTCAGATACAGTCCCTGCCCTCGTGAAAGGCAGGCTAGCTCAAAGAGACTTTGATTCTCAAGTCAATTTGTAGACATGCTCTCATTATTCAACCACTGTATTAGCATCACTATAGAGAGAGTAATATAATGAATAACCCCCCAAATCATTTCTACCTGGCATTACAGTGTATATCACTGGAACACATTATTTAAAACTTGAAAATATCCTAAGAAGTCGCCCAATCTAAACTCCTCACTGATCAGACTGGCAAGCTGAGAGACAAAGAGGCTAGCTAGATAACAGGCTCAAAGTCATACAAACTAGTAAGTAGCAAAGTTAGGATTAGAAGCCAGGTTCTCGGAAACCACAACTTCCCCAGTTTTGTTTCCAAGTAATGAATAACATTGGCCAATCACTGTTAATTATCTAAAGACACAACACATACACATACACACCACATGCATAGACACACACATTAGCCATAGACATGTACATTACAGGTACATATACCACACATATACACATACATACATAATCACATACACATATTACCTATACATACACAACCACATACACTTATATCTACATATACATATACCACATACACATTTATCTACATATACACACATAAATACAAATACATACCATACACACACACACACACACACACACACCACATACCACATACACAGGGGAGGGAGAAGGAGGACGTCTCAACCTAAGATTTGTGATTTCATTGATTTGAGGCACTCCCTTAGTGGAAGCTCCCTCCACCAATCTTCTGTAACTTTGAGTCTTAGAGAGCTGCTTGGGAACACTGAGAATTTATGATTTGAATACGAATTTAGCATGTGTCAGAAGCAGCACTTCAGCCTAAGTCTTCCTGATTCCAAGACCAACCCTGCATTCATTACACCATGTTGTCTCTCTCCATATACATGAATAATAATAATAAATAATTGTTATTGATAATAATATAGTACAATCTCTTATCAGTTTAGAGCTTCTATTGATTTCAAAAGGTTCTCACATAAATTATCCCATTAGATCCCCACTATGACCCTATGAAGTAAGGACTATTATTCACATTTGACAGAGAGAAAGTAAATGCCCAGAGAAATTATGATGTTCCCTACCTTCAAAAACTACATCAGTTACAAAATGGGTGAGAGCCCAGTTCTCCCGGCTCTTAGACCCGCTATAACATACTGCCTCCGTACGAAAGTTTTATTGAATGATTTGGCTTAAGGAGTAAAAGAGGTGAGAATTAAAACCGCTTCTTGAGAGATACATCAGCTTTCATTGACTAGTTCTATCCACCTATGAGTTTTCTGTGACCATAATTGTCTTCAAACTGCCTCATTTTACCCTTAGAGATTTTTGCAGCCCTTCTCAATATCTTCCCACCTGGGAGTCATTGATTGAAACTGTAGTTCTTTGTATATTATCTCCTCCCTTTAGACTGTGAGCTCCTTGAGAGCAAGGACTGTCATTTGCCTTTCCACGTATCCTCAGAACTTTTAGAACGGTGTTTGGCACATAGTAGTAACTTAATAAATGATCGTTGACTGAGTTACTGACTCCTCTTATCACAGTTCAAAAATGACCATAATCATTTTCTGATGGACAAAATAAGGTATGGTAGTAAAAGTCTCTTTCTGGGATTCAGAAACCCTTAGAAATAGAAGGGCCCCTCTGGGCCAGCTAGACCAATCCCTTCCCTCAAGAAAGAACCTACTGTATCCCTGACCTGAAGATTCATCTAACCTCAGCCTGAACACTTTCAGAAATGGAGAATTTATCCCTTATCAAAAATGCCATACTTTGTTTGGGATAACAAAGATGTTAAGGTGTTTTTCTCTGTCACAAGCCAAAATCTCTTCCATAAAACAATGAAGGCGTGATGTAACAAAGGCCAGACTTCAGGTGAATGCTGACTGGTAGTCCAGTGCTCTGTAGATCTAAGTAGCTCATAAACATTATTTTAAAGGGAAGATGAGGGCAAAAGAGAACCATTTCAGAAAATCTATTTATTCAACATTAGCACACAGACAAGGCAACACTGTGCAGTAAATCTTGGTTTCACCTTGTCCTTCCCTCATCAATCAGTGTTTCTCTCTCTCTCTCTCTCTCTCTCTCTCTCTCTCTCTCTCAGTAAGGTAATTGGGATTAAGTGACTTACCCAGAGTCACACAGCTAGTAAGTATTATGTGTCTGAGGCTGGTTTTAAATTCAGGTTCTCCTGATTCCAGGGCCAATGCTCTATCCACTGCACCATCTAGCTGCCCCCATCAGTGCTTTCTTGATGCCCTTTTCACTAACCCAAACATCCTCCTACGCTCTGGATTATCTCCAGCTACCTCCCATTAATTCTCCATCACTCTGTCTCCTCTTTCCCCAAGTCCACTTCCTAATCATATGTCACATCAAACAAAGGAGAGCAGTATGGTATTGTGAAAAGATAACTGGGCTTGGAGTCAGGAGACTGATTCAAATTCTGACTCTGGCACTTACTCTCCCTATGATCAAAGACAAATTGCTTAAAATCTTTGACCTCAGTTTCCACTTCTATAAACTGGAGGTAGTAATACTTTCATAAACTGCCTTCTATGGTTGTTGTGAGGAAATTCCAGCTCTCAGGCTGTAATCACGTAACACCTTAATTCAATTCAAATGCAAATGCCTCTGGCAGATATTAGAAATTTCAGTTCCCACAGCAGGTCAAGGGGGCTCCCTCAACTCATGCCATCCAGACAGCTACTTATTCCTGGCATATATCCTGGTCCTCCCTATGGGAGAGGTAGACATTTGGCTCTAGTACTAAGGTCAATGAATAATAGCTTATAAAAGATATAGTAATGCATCTCTACACATTGGAAGTATAAGAAAAGATTCTATGGAAAAAAAAATACTTAGTACTTACTTGAGGTGAGGAAAAGCCAGTGAGACTCTGTGAGAGTATGCCACTTGGATGGACCAGATACACTTGAAGGACACTGAGTGTGTAGGTCCCTTGGGGCTGGAGAATTTCCCTGAAGGCTTTGTGAGAATTCCACCACAGACAGGTGATGCTAAAAACAAAACAAAAAGATTAGAAGGTTATGGAAAGGTGAGCTTTCCATCCATGATATACATTGGAAATATTTTCCGTTCCCCAGTATTGTTCAGGATACCTTAAGGGATTTAGGTGTCTTTACAAATAAGGGATTAAAAAATGATTCACATCAGGAGAAAATGAATGTATCAGTCATGTGAAAGAATGCTCCAAATGACCAATAATAACAAATTAAAATTAAAAACTTCTGAAATCTCCCATATACCCATCAGATTGGCAAAAGTAACAAGATCAGTCAGTGGATAAAGATTTATTAAGCACCTACTATGTGCTAGGCACTGTGCTAAGTGCTGGGGATACAAAAAGAGGCAAAACACAGTCCCTGTACTGAAGGAGCTAACAATGTCTTGGGGGAACAACAAATCAACAAATATGTACCAAAAAAAAAAAAAAAAACCCAACCCATGTACAGGATAAATAGGAAATTATAAAGAGAGAGAAGGCACTTGACTTAAAGGGTTGAAAAAGGTTTACTATAGATTGTATTTTAGTTAGGACTTAAGGTTTGGAGATGCAGTGGTGGAAATGAGGAGGGAGAATATTCCCAGCATGGGGAACAGCCAGAGAAACTGCCTAGGCCTGAGCATGGATGGTTCTTTCAAGATAAATGGAAAATGTTAGACCCTCCAGGAGAACTAACCTGCTGGGCAAATGACAACCTTCTCTATTTTTCACCCCCCCCAAAAAAGTGTTCTATTACCCTTATTTAACTATATAAGAAGTCAATAGTCATCAGCAAGGGTTTCTTTCTGTCTGACCCAAAGCCCTCAGGTTGTAAATTTAACCTATTTCTTGTTCTCATCTGTGTCTTTTCACATTCTTTAAGATTATCATGAATGTCACTTCTCCCTGAGGTTTTTCTCAGCAGCTGTTTAAGATGCATGATCTTCCCCTAGACACAGCTACAGTCCACCTTCCAAAGAGTTGAAGGGTGCATATTTTACCTTGCACTTTTTCAGCAGAGTTTAAGAGCTATACTAGGGATGGTCCATACCTAAAACCAGGAGTGACATCTCCCAGGAAAGTCGAGTATGAGATAAAGTAAATGTCTACATTCAGGTGTGCATTCAAAACCAGACAGGAAGTAAAATGAGGCCATAATCACCTAATGTGGAATATCCCATAATGGTTTTCAATACCTAGCAGCCCAACAGGAAAGAAACATTTCCTCTGGGAAGCTAATTTCAACTACACGTAATTCTCTTATTAGAGGACTTACATTGTCATGACATGAAAATGAGAAATATATAATAAAAATATGGCACCCAAAAGGGCTGAGATGATGCTCACCAGTCCTTGTCGTCTCTGATGAGACAATCCACACAATGCCTATTGATAGAAACAGATGGAGATTAGGTACCACTCTATGGTTTATACGTTTTAGAAATCCAAGTCTATCCAAGACAATATATCTATATGGAAAGAAATCACATCTTTATAATGAGAGGGGGCTAGTATCTGAAGGAATGGGGCAGCAAGGTGGCCAGTGGATAGAGCACTGGGCTAGAGTCAGGAATACCTGAAGTCAAATCCACCTTTAGACACATACTAGCCACATGACTCTAGGCAAGTCACATAATTCTCTTTGCCTTAGTTTTCTTATCTATAAAATGAGCTGGAGAAGGAAATGGCAAACCACTACAGTATCTTTGCCAAGAAAACCCCAAATGGGGTCACAAAGAGTCAGATGTGACTGAACAACAACATCTGAAAGAAAATTATTTTCTATTTCTCATTCTCAGGGAAAAGGTCAAAACCACTTAAATAGGTTAGCATTTTGCTCACTAAGGTTTTGGGGAGTCAGTTATTTATTAACCTCAACATTTATCATAACTCATGCTCTTTGCATTGTCCTGCCTGATAATTTGATTGGGCATTTTCTGTTCTATCATATTAATTTCAGAGATCATAGAACACCCAGAGTTAGAAAGAACTTTGGAGGCCATCAAATGCAGCCCACACCTAAACAAGAGTGCCCTCAATGATGTCCTCAAGAAATAGTCATCCAACCTTTGCTTGTATTAGAGGAAGCCAATTACCTCCAGAAGTAGACCATTTCTCTTTTGGATAGTTCTCTAATAGTCAGGATATTTTTCTTTCTACTGAACTGAAATGGGCTTCTTTGCAATCTCTTCCCATTATTCTAAGTTGTGCTTTCTAGAACCAAGGAGAACAAATCTTATCCCTTTTCTGTGTGATAGCCTTTAAATATTTGAAGACAACTATCAAACCCCCTTCTCCAAAAAAAATCTTTTTCATCTCTTTTAAACTATCCTCAGATAAAATGAGCTTGAGGTCCCTCTCTTTACTGGCTGCTCTCCTCTAGACACTCATCAGTTTATCACCAGCATTTTTTTAGACTGATTCTCCCTATCTTCCAGGTTGGAAGGGAAGGGACCACTCATGGAGTCATCCCACGACAGATCAGTACATGAGCTTTATTCTGACCCAGGCCAGTTTGCCCTTCTTTAGGCATCCTTGTGGTCCCCAGATCCTAGGGAGTTGCCATATTAATGCCAGCCAATGTAGACACCTAATCAACTTTTGCCCACTATAGGTCAAACCTCCAAAATCGATTAGATTTGCAGGCTCAGATTCCCTAGTTGCAGGAATTACGACAGGCACCCATCACTGCATCCAGCTCATTGTCTTTCTCAAAATGTGGTTCCCAGAACAAAATTCATTACTTTTGCTGTAGTCCAACCACAGCAGAGTTGAATGGGCCTCATGACTTGAACCCACCCAGAGCAGTTTTCTTACTTTCTCCTTACTTTTGTATTAGGCATTTTTGTCCTATCCTTTCCAGTCCATTCCATTCACCTTGGCAGAGGAAACAGGAGCAAAATACAAATTAAACAGGTCTGTTATATGAACCAAGTGAAATAACGTGTGAAACTTTTTTGTTGTATGAATATACTTTTCCAAGAAACTGTCAGCACTCAGTTTCATAAGCACAACCTATTCATTTCCCCATGGAAAGCAATCTATTTCCCTTTTAAGAAACATCGCTGTGGCCTTTTACTAACAATGCACTAACTTTTGATATCACTGGATTTACCTTGTCATGGGTCAATACAGATAATAATAGTTTAGGCTTAGTAACCTGCATTTGTATATGTTATCTCCTGCACCTTCACAAAGACAAGTTCACTGAGTGATAAAATACAAAGCACTTTGAAATAATTGAATGATAACCAAGGGCAATTTGATATTAAGCTCTTTGTTTTAAAGTTTAGCAGCCAACTTTCTTTTTACTCCAGTGGCTACAAAGTAAACAGAAAAGTCATGCTTTAGTTCCCCTCTTACTCAATATGTATCGGTTATCCTTTTAGCAAAACAAAAGACAAAAAAACAAACAAACAAAAAACCTGCTCCAGGTAGCAAATTCAAGGAAATGTCAAATGTATTTATGCCTCCAGCAATACCCTCAGATTTACCTTAATCTCTAACTTCAAGATCCCAGTGATTGCATTGATTGGGACTTCACGATTTTAATTAGTGATAGACTTCTGGGAATGAATTGGTGACCTTTGAGGCAAGGACTAGGGCAGAAATGAGAGGATTAGTGAATACCTAGAACAAAGAGGGCTGCATCCTCACATGATATGGTCCAGTAGCCAGACCTGTGGTCTAAGTCACTTCTATTCATTTTTCTTTTATTTACATAATAAGAATAATAGTGCCTGCTCTGCTGAGCTCACAGTAACTTGTGAGGCTTAAATGAGATGTTGCAGAGTTGTTCCAGTCATGTCCAACTCTTCATGACCCCATTTGGGGTTTTCTTAGTAAAAATACTTGAGTGATTTGCCATTTCATCCAGCTCATTTTACAGATGAGGAAACTGATTTGAGCTCAGGTCCTCCTGACTCCAAGGCCAGCGCTCTATCCACCACGCCACTTCTCTACCCCCAAATAAGATGACTTTGTTAAAAGTTCTCATGTGGAAGCCTGTAGAAATAGATGGGATTTCTAGATACCAGCAGTAAGACGTACGATATACTCAAGGAGTACAAAAGGTTCAGATCAAGATGATGAGAAACTAAGGCAATCAGTGTCAGAAATCCTCTACCTAACACTTTTAATATAGTAGAGACTCATTGAATATTTGTTTATTTGAACAGATTTGACTTGATTCTGCCCTCTTTTGTGTTTTCTGTGTCTCTATCTGCCTCTTTGTCTGTCTTCTGGGCACACTCTCTTTTTCTCTCTTTCTCGTTCTGATCAAACTTTCTACTGATACAAACCGAATATACAAAATACAGAATATAACCCTAAGTCCTTTGAGACACATATTAACTTTCTCTAAGAACAGGAATCCTATAGCAAGTCTAAAGGATTTCTAGACTTTGAATCAGGGATTTGGGCACCCATATGAGCATAGAGTATATTCCACGGCCTTTCAAGTTTATCCAGAAACTAGAAAGACAGCACAGTGTATATAGTACAAGGGCTCTGGTTTGGGGAGCAGTGGATCTGTGTTCAAATCCTAGCTCTGGCATTTGTGAGCTTGTGAGCTTTGTGAGCTTTCTAAAACCTCAGTATCTTCATATGTAAAATAATGACAGTAATACTTGCACTACCTACCTTACAAGAAGTTGCTATGTGGGAAATGTTTTATAAATCTTAAATGCTTTAGAAATGTGATTTCTTATTATAAACAAGCCTTAAGTGGTTGAAGGAACAACCAACATCCCCTTGACCTGCCCAATGATACCAAATGTTTGTTGCACATGAGATAAAGTTTTCCGTCTTTCATCAGGTTGAAAACCAGGGCCTGTCACTCTTCTCCCACCCCTTTCCAAATGCCTGTGGAGCAGAGGTGTCAAACTCACAACCCATGGGCGTTGTGGTCCAGCAAAACTCTTGAGTGCAGACCAAGCCAGATTAAAATATAGATGGGAGATGTTTAACAAAATAAATAACTAATATATACAATACAACCTAAGGTTTTCTAAGTCAATATGTGGCCTACAGGGAACCGTTTCTATTTTCGTTTGACACCACTGCTGTGGGGTATACATGAGATAGAGTACATGGAAGAACCCACAAAATGTTTACTGTTTATTCTGAGTTCTGTAGATGCCCTGCCATATTCAATGTATCTTTGGCACTATGTACGAAAAGACATGGTATTTGCTGAAACTGATCGCAGAAGCACAGAGAGACCTGAGGCTGCATAGTCCAACCCACGAACAAAAATAAACTTCACAATATTGCCAACAAGTGATCATCTTGTCTCTACTTAAGGGCCCCCCATTGAAGAGGATCCCACTATCTACCAAGCCAGCCCATTCCCCTTTTGGAGAGCAATAACTGTTGAGAAATTCTTATCTACATTAACCCTAAATCTGCCTCCTGGAAATAGCCTAGAGAAGAACTATGTGTGTTCTTTATCAATAGGCAAGATCTTCTAACCTTCAGCCAGGGAATTAAAAGAACAGAAATCAAGTGAGGATGAAACATACCTGCACTCAAAAGGAGGGTCCAGATGAAGCCCATTGACCTCTCCATTCTAAATAGAGATCCTGTCAGCCCAGCTTGAAGAGTGAGCATTGGAGTATGCATGCTGAGGGCTATATAGTGACATAACCTGAAATATGATCTTTTCTTTATCCCTGGGGTAAAGGAAATGAAAATTCTTCATAACGTGCCTTTGAGTTAATTTAGTTGCCGACCCTTCTATACCCCTTCAGCTATCATCAGTGAATCTTTTCACCCAGATTGTGAAATAATGGACCATTTTCCTCTCTTTTCCTCCTTTTGTGGTCAGGGAAGAGGAGAGGTAAACTTCTGAAAAGTGAGAAGCCAGGCTGATAATACCTGTTTGCATAGCTCTTAACTTATTAAAGGATTTTCACATGAGCCTATGTAGAGCCCTGTGAGGTAATGTTAGCAAAACTTCTCTCATAAACATGGGCTTCTGTTACGTTTATATTTCATGATGCTTCTTCGCAGATCATGCCAAGCAGCTTATACTTTTACATGTCTTCCTCTGAGAATAAGAAAATAAATGAATTAATGATACAGAAAAAATGCATTAATTACATTGGGAAACTATTCGTTGATACACAAGCATACAACTCTTAAACATCCAAATGAGCATTAACTAAATCTGACAACTACTTTGGATTAGGAACTTAACTTAAATATCTTCTCATGGTAAATGGCACACATTCTAGGCAGACAGAGGAGACAAATACGCAAGGGAGATGAACGGGGATAAGATTCATCAAAGTGGGGAAAACCAAACACACAGAAACAGAATTCTGGCAGTGAAAGTAGCTGCAGGAATATAAGACAGAGTAATAAGGAATACCTTTCTCAGAGTTATTATATCATGACTGAAGTGTTTTGAAATTCCTTGTAAAGCTAGAGTGTTTAAAACAAGAGTGTTTCTGAGCCTCTGGGCCCTCAGAGAGTGAAGGACAAGTTACCTTGGAGTTTCTCTCCAAGCCAGAGAAGGAAAGAAAGAAAGAAAGAAAGAAAGAAAGAAAGAAAGAAAGAAAGAA